TCATTTTAGTTGTATATAGTTGCATTTAGGAAATTTCATTGCATGTGGTGGAAAGGTTTTACCGCAATAAATTTTGTTTGATAAAACTGATGTTGCTGATGAGAAGGGTTGTGTGATGTCTGTGATGATGCATGTGATAGGAAATGATCGAGGATAAAATTATTTGTCGAGATAAATTTTTATGCGAGGGCCAAAGGAACTGAAGACGATAATAGTGAGGAATTTTTAGCCACGATAAGTTTTATCTTGCAAGTCTAACGCAGTACGAGACCAAATTACTGACGTCGCGTGGCCAGCTGTCCATTGCACCTCACGTGAACCTCTGCCCATGCCAAGGATCTGAGATCACTGCTAGCTTCCATATTTTTTATAAAATTGGCATCAATTCAAGGGTAGTTGGGGAAATTTCAAGGGCACTAAACCCTATAAATTTTCCACTATAAATAGCACATTATGCCCACCATTTTAAAAAAATCCCCACTCTCACCTACTCTAAAAGCTTTAGAAATAGTGTTGCAACACCTTCTTCTCCACGGTTCTCATCTGTTCTTTTCTTGGTGTCCTCCATAGTCGGGCTTCACCGGAGTAACGGCTTGGCCCTCGAGAGAGGCTAGCATGCTGGAGCAGTCATGGTGATGGTCAAATGTCACAACAACAACTCTATTTTTTGGGAGTTTCCTTCTTCTTGTTCTTCATTTCTTATCTTTTAAGGGCTTGTATTTAATGAATATTTTTGGGATGATTTTAGCCACACCATGAGCTTTTTTTATATTTATTGATGTTTTATTCACCATTTTAATCTTATGCCTTAGCACTGTAAGAGCTTTTGAGAGATTTCATGTGGCTTGGCATAATATTCATAGTCTTTGTAAGAGTTGTTGTGAGATAGTCATTTTTCTAGGAGTTGATACCTAATAACGAGAGATTTAGGTTAGATCTAAGTGAACAAGGGAACTAATCTATGATGGTGATGTTCTAATTTACCTTAGAGATAAGGAGAGGGTTTCAAGCAACTAAAAGGGATAATACTTAATCATTAGGCTAGGGACACTATTTATGCTAAGAGGTATTGTCGTGCAATAGTTGTATCAGTTCCTTACTAGAGATAGCTTAAGAATACTTTAGTAAATCCTATCGGGTAGCATAGGCACATCATACTTAATTCATCCTAGGCATTGAATAATTTATCACCATAGCAAATCCAACCCAAGTGCTCCATTAGAAGTATGATTGTGTGAGGTTGTTAGTATATATTCAGAACCCAAACATTTTATCGCCTTAGCAACTTTTATCTACTTACTCTTGCAATTAATTTTTGCCTTAGCAATTTTTATTTATTTACTCTTGCATATTTTTCTTGCCACGACAAACATTATCTGCTCACTTCACACATTTCTTACCTCAACAAATGTTTTCCATATGTTCATACTATCTAGCATATCACATTTCTCATTTGTTTATATCATTAGATTTAGACTCTTAGTATTAGTTAGTGACACATATTCCTAACTGTAGCAATCTTTAAAGAATTCCCCCAATCCCTATAGAGACGATACCCACTCACTACTGTATTACTTGCATCGATTATGTATTCATATACATATTTATATGTCATACCACACATATTTACACACGATCAGCTCGTAACTTGCTGACTGACGGAACACACAACTGTCCCTGATAATATTGCACATCATTGTCCTTTAATTCAAAACTCAATGCTTCACCTCGACGAATCTAATCAATCTTGTTCATCAGACGAGTATTAGTCCTCTGAAGTTCCTTGAATTCTTTAACTAACTCGGGCTCTACTTGTAACTCAGCTAATAGTCTCCCCATCAGCAATCAAACTCACATGTGCAAGTAAGTCTCGAAGATCAGATACTGTCTTCTGGCTTAGAGCATCAACTACTACATTCTCTTTACCCAGATGATAGTCGATCACGTAGTTATAATCCTTGAGCTACTACATTCGCTGCCTCAGGTTTAGCTCCTTTTGGGAAAGTAGGTACTTCAAACTCTTGTGGTAGATGAAGATGTAACACTTCTCCCCGATTAGATAGTGTCTCCAAATCTTCAAAGCGAATACAACAACTGCTAATTCCAAGTCATGGGTAGGGTAGTTACACTTATTCGATTTAAGTTGTCGGGCATACACAACTACCTTGCCCTATTGCATCAATACACAATTATCGTTTAGCGAATCATTACTAAACATTGTGTAATCATTGCCCGACTCTGGTTGCGTCAACAATGGTGCTCTGGTCAAAATCTCTTTTAATCTTTCAAAGCTCTGCTGGCGCTTATCATCCCAAATAAACGATATTCCTTTTCGTTACAAATTTTTCATTGGGGAAACAATCATAGAAAACCCCTTTACAAACCTTCGATAATAACCAGCAAGTCCAAGAAAATTGAGCACCTTAGTTACGTTCTTTGGTAGTCCCACTCAACCATGGCTTGGATCTTCTGCAGGTCTACCTGAATACCCTCAACGGCCACCATATACCCAAGAATGACACTTCTAACAACCAAAACTCACACTTGCTAAACTTGGCATATAATTGACGCTCTCTTAAAGTTTGTATAACGATGAGGAGGTGGTAATCGTGGTCCTCCTCAAAATGCAAATACACCAAGTTTTCATCGATGAAAGCCACTACGAATTGATCTAAGTATTGATGGAAGATCCTATTCATCAAATCCATAGACGTTACTGGCGCATTTGTGACACCGAAGGGCATAACTAGAAACTCGTAGTGACCAATACCGGGTCCTGAATGCAGTCTTTGTTATATCGGCCTCCTTAACTTTCAACTGATAGCATCATGACCTCAAATCAATCTTGAAGAACACTCTAGCTCCCCTGAGATGGTCAAACAAATTGTCGATCCTTTGAAGCAAATATTAATTTTTCACGGTTAACTTATTCAACTAGCAGTAGTTTATACATAACCTCATTGAGTCGTCTTTCTTATTTACAAATAACATCGACGCTCCCCCATGGTGACACATTGGGGAGGATGAATCCTCGCTCTAGAAGTTCTTAGACTTGGGCCTTCAGTTCTTTCAGCTCTGTCGGTGCCATGCGATATGGAGCAATGGACATCGGAGCTAAACCTGGCATAACCTCAATGCCATACTTTAGTTCTCTATCAGATGGTAAACCCGACAATTCCTCCAAGAAGACATCTGAAAAGTCTTTTACTGCAGGGATCTCATACTAACGTTATTAAGTAACTAGGATATCCTTATCATATTCTCAGGCATTAAACAAGGGCATAAGTCTTATGTTATCACACATTTGGTTATGGTTTTTCTCTTGTAGTCTTATGCAAAGGTAACATTTAGCTTGCCTTGGGTCCCTTAAGTCAATTTCCATAAATTTTAGTCCTATATGCCCTAAAACTGACTGTTGGTATCGATACTGGTCCTTTAGTATCGATACCCATGACCCAATCTCGATACCCTACATGAGTCACAAAATTAAAAATGACTACTAGAATATGGGTCTCGATACCAAGATAGTCTTCTCGAGATCGTGGCCACGATATCGATACCCATGAACGAGTATCGAGACCCTTACCCAGAAAACCCAAAAATTAAAAAACAATCTTGATATTGTTATTCCAGTATCGAGATCGAACTTATATAACACACTGTTTTATAACAAGAAAGCCTAACTTTCTATCCCAAAATCCCTAAAGGGTCCTCAACTGATGTTTAATGCTTATTCAATCTATAAGGGGAATAAAAGGACCACTACTCTACACAAGAACACAACAAAACCCATCTTCATGATTTGAATCCCCACCCAAGTGCACACAAAGGTTCTTACACACAACATGCATCAAAACTTCACATTTTGAATTAAAAACAGTATAGGAATGTTATAAATGTGTTACCTCACTCCTAAGAGTTGTAAAAACAACCCCAAAATCACCTAATCAATTCATTTTTCTTGCCTTTTCCCTTGGAGCTTTCACCTTCTTCTCTCACTAGAACATATCAAAGAAATGAGTTATAAACTTATTTCAGGCTCTAAGAAGGTTAGAAATAAGGTCTTTAAGCTTCCAAAATAGATTTGGAGTCCTAAAGGGTTCTAGAATTTAAAACCTCACTTAACTCTCACCTAAGCTTCCATGGTCAAACTCCAAGTTGAGAGCTCAAAATCTAGCTTAAGAGAAGATGATTACAAAGCTTACCTCCTTAATTTCGAACTAGGGATGGACACCAACAAGTTCCCACCTTTACCTTGAGCCCAAGAAGAAAGATGGGGGAGTTTGAATGAGAGAAATAATACAAGAATGAAAGATGAAAACAAAAGGGGATGAAAAAGAGGAATGAGGGAGCTCTGGACGTTTACTTCATCTCCCTTAATTGAAATTCAACCTTTGAACAAATTAGGGGTAATTTATACTCCAAGTCCATCTCCTTTGATGCACACTTTAAAAACACCATTTTTAAGCCCTATTAGACTCAAGCCCAAACCAAAACAACTATGACTTGACCCAAAACTCTTAAATGGTTTTCCTTAGTCTATTGAAACTCATTCTGATTTTACCCGAAACTATTAACCCGAGAATCAGGGCGTTACATGAATATAACATCTAAAAAGACCAAACCGGTCTTTAACTTGAACTTTTTTTAAAAAATCTGAATCAATCGGTTCGGGTCAGACTGGAACAGTTCCCGTGCACATCCTTAACGGTGAGCGACCAAAATAAAACCAAAACGTAACATTGAATATGATTTTGAAAAAAAATAGTTTGGTGGCCAAAACAGAAACAAGAAAATAGATTGGTGACATAAACATGTAATTTACCGTATTATTGACTTTTATTTTTTAAGACTTGGATAAAGAAATTAATCGGCGAATAATATATACCTATTGGCATGACAAACAAAATAATTTGTTAAAAAATTATATTATTTGAACAACCTTTCTTCTCATTTAGCAATTTAACTAAATGTGAAGATTTTGATAATTACCGTTTGCTTATTTTGGAAAGCTCTCTCATTTTACGTTTACTGGAAAATTATTGAAGTAGCAGTCAGCCAGTGACCAATAGAGGGAAGGCAGGGAGCCTTGTCTGAGGTCTGTTGAATTCAATTTTCACTTGAAATCTTTCTCACCCACAACAAAAAATGAATCTATGGGTCCAAAATTTGAACACTTGATCATCAAATTTCTAACAACTTCAACGCTTTTCAAGGCAGAGCTAGAAAAGCCATGAAGTGCCGATCCGTGGCGTGTATTTGGTCAAGCACGCCTCCGGTCCACCGCGTCACAGCCACCGCCGCCCTCGATCACCCTCCGACTCTCTACACCGGCGGATCCGATGGCTCTATCCTCTGGTGGAACCTCTCCAACACAGATTCCCATTCGGTAACCAACTAACTTCACTCGATTCAAATTAGGGAATTAATTTAGCTACAAGATTCCGGCTCTCTATAATCATCATTACCATTAAGAAACTAGCTTATTATATTTGTATTATGCAATTGAAGGACCAGAGAGCTTGTATTTGTTTCCCTTTTCCTTTGGTTTTTGATATTACGTTTAATATTTCTATGTAGTAAATCTGGGTTTTGTTAGGGTATAGTTCATATCGTTGGTTTTAGTGAATGACAGTTGGAAATTGTCATATTCAGGAAATTAAACCGATTGCTATGTTGTGTGGTCATGCTGCACCAATAGCTGATCTCGCCATTTGTTGTCCCATTGTAGCATCTGGAGAAAAAAATACAGTTAATTCAAGTAATGTTGCTTTGAATTCTAGCTTTGATCATGGTGGTGCATTACTGAGTGCTTGCACTGACAGTATGTTGTGCGTCTGGAGCAGAAGTAGTGGCCACTGCAGGCGTAGAAGAAAACTGCCACCTTGGGTTGGCAGTCCATTGATTATTCGTACACTGCCTTGGAATCCAAGATATGCTTGTTTAGGCTGTTGCTTTATTGATGCTGCCCATTTATCTGACCATCATTTGGAGTGTGCTGAAGGGGGTGAGATTTCAATGGATAAAGAATCTCAGAGCAGGAAGCCTCCCAAGTGTACTGTTGTTATTGTTGATACGTATACTCTTACCATTGTACAAACTGTTTTTCATGGGAATTTGTCCATTGGGCCTTTGAAGTTTATGGACATTTTTTCTTCAGTTGATGGAGAAAAGCATTTTTCACTCTTGGCTGACTCCTTTGGTAAGCTACAATTGGTTCCCTTGCCAAAGGACTTTTATCAAGATGGTGGTGAGGGCGAGACTAGGTTACAGAGATCTTCTAAGGAGGAAATAATGACATTGGAAGATGGCCTTGTTGAGGCTGGACAAGTTGTATCAATTGCAACGTGTAGGACCCTTGTTGCTACTGTGATAAAAGATCGGTCTATATTTAGGCTATTGGGAAGTGGCACTATTATAGGAGTGATTCTTTTTATGAACAATGTCCTTTGCATTGAAGACAAGTATGGTCGGGCACATGTTGTAGGGGCTATGTTTCTCGAAAGTAAAAATTCTGGGAATGCACAAAGTACTGGTGAAACCCATGAATCTGAAATTTTTTTAGTGTGGAATAATAGAGGATCTGCACTTTTGTATGAAATATCATATCTAGATAACAAATTTAATTCTGAACCTCTGTGCGAAATCTCTGCTGCTTCTGTTCCCCTAGCTGCAAGGTTGTCATTTTCTTTTGTCCAGTTGAGCCAAATACTTCTTCGCATTGAGTCAGTTTGCTTCATTGTTGAAGACCAATTTCAGTGGAAACCACGTGTTACAATCTGGTCTCTTAAACGGAATCATGATCATGCTAAACACTTTGATGAATGTAAAATGCTTGGAGAAGGCATTTCTTTTCTTGGCTGGACTTCAGCTGCTAGTTTGGATCATAAAAACGAGTCTTTGGGTGGATGCAATACCAAATTAACTTCTATTCAGAGCTCTGTTTCCAGCTCAGAAACTACAAATAGCATACATGTCGATGATAGTTCTTATTTTGTCCCTAAGGAACAAATTGTATCTTCTTCCATGGTTATTTCTGAAAATCTTTATGCTCCTTCTGCGATTGTATATGGCTTCTTTAGTGGTGAAATCCAAGTTGTGTGGTTTAATTTGTTTCGGGGGCTTGATTCTCCAGTTGGAAGTCCACATCTTGCAGTAGACTCTCATATATCCAAACAAATCTTTGCAGGTCACACGGGTGCTATACTATGTCTGGCAGCACATCGGATGGCGGGTGCTGCTAAAGGATGGAGTTTTAGTCAAGTTTTAGTTTCTGGAAGCAAGGATTGCACTATTCGTATATGGGATCTTGATTCTGGTAATCTCATTACTGTCATGCACCACCATGTAGGTCCTGTGCACCAAATCATTCTACCCTCTGCTCGAACTGAACGCCCTTGGAGTGATTGCTTTCTTTCCATTGGAGAGGACGCTTGTGTCGCTCTTACTTCACTTGAAACTTTGAGAGTGGAGAGAATGTTTCCTGGACATCCTGACTATCCTGCAAAAGTTGTTTGGGATGGTGCAAGAGGTTATATTGCATGTCTCTGTCGGGACCATACCAGAATTTCTGATGCCATTGATGTTCTATACATATGGGATGTGAAGACCGGGTGTAGAGAAAGGGTCCTTCGTGGGACTGCTTCTCATTCGATGTTTGATCATTTCTGCAAAGAAATTAGTGCAACTTCCATTTCTGGTTCATCACTGACTGGAAATACATCAGTTTCATCATTACTTCTTCCAATACATGAAGATGGGAGCTTTACTCATTACAAGTTAAATAATTCAGAAAATGGAGCTACTTTGTCAAAAATGACTGGGTCTAGCACTTTGCTAGCAAATAATAATAAAGTGAATTCTGGAAAGGGACCATATGTTTCTCGAACCAGAAAACAACCCATTAAATGCTTTTGCCCATATCCTGGAATTGCTACCCTGAGCTTTGATCTTGCAGCATTGATTGATCCTTTTCAGAAGAACGAGCCTATAACCAAGAATGGTGATGGTCAAGAGAATAGCTATATGAAAGAACAGTGGAGTGAGACATTTAGTCCCCATCATATGACTTCAGATGGTGGCTTTAACACTGATCAGAGTTCAACAGATGGTGTAGTAGGGCATGACTGGATCAAAACGCTTGAAGAATATCTTGTTCGATTTAGCTTGTCCTTTTTGCATTTATGGGATGTGGATTGCGGTCTTGATGATTTATTAGTAGCTGACATGAAGATGAAAAGGCCTAATGGTTTTTTGGTATCTTCTGGTTTGCAAGGCGATAAAGGGTCTTTGACACTGTCATTTCCTGGTTTTACGGAAAGTCTTGAGGTATTTTGAAGGAATTGTACTGGTATTGACATTTGTTGTCCATTTCACTTATTTCAACTGCTCCTAAGTTGTTAATTAACATTTCAGCTTTGGAAATCATCATCGGAGTTTTGTGCAATGAGGTCACTGACAATGGTTTCACTTGCCCAACACATGATTAGCTTGTCCCACTCAAGCTCAGCCACTAGCAGGTATCACACTTGTTCCTCCACAATTATATTTATTGTACACTATTATTCTCCATTTACTTTGCCATGTTAGGTGATTTACAGCAAAAAGGCCTATTTTTTCCTTTTGCTTAATCACTGTCCAAATAGCTGTTGACAGAATCAAGTAACATACTAACATGTCAAATACAAGCCTTAGCAGATATTTGATGTTGTAATCATGATATATTATTTTTGTGGATGGAAAGGTTGATTTCTTTGTTGTTGACTGTGACCATACCTAAGGGAATGTTGCTAGAATTGGATTCTACCTTTCTATATTTCAGGATACAATTCTGTTTAAGTGAATGGTTATCTTGTCCATACATTTTCTGTGTAACGATAATTATTTTATGCTCATAATACTTGGAAAATTATTTTAATTGTTAAATGAAGATTAGTTTCACCTCTTTAAGATATCTTTATTTTGATCAATCTTGAAGGTGAGACTGACTATAAGGTTAGTCTTAATGACATGCATGTCCTTCTGGTTATTAGCATGATGTTTTGTGGGTCCATTGCAAATGCTGATATATTTCATAATTATGTGCCTTCCTCTAATAAATTTAACAATGTGACATTTTCATCGAGCAATTATTATTCCAGCCTGTGAAATATTTTCACTATATTTCTCATTTGTTACTTCTAGCCATTTGCATTTATTGGCAGTGCTTAATGATTTCACCTTTATTGTCAATTCTTTGCAGTGCCTTGGCCGCGTTCTATACTAGGAGTTTTGCAGACAAATTTCCAGAAATAAAGCCACCTTTACTCCAGGTCCCATCTTGTACTAATAACTTGCGTTTTCAATTTCTGACAATTAACTAAAAACTGTGTAATGATAATGGATTTATATTTGCTGCATTCTACATTTGATACATTGTCATTGAAGAATATGTTGCCACGTTGTAAGTGAGTACGTTTAAATTGTGATTCCTAAAATGTAAATATCAATAAAATTTATTCTTTTTAGATGAAACAGTATGTTCCTTCTTACGAGTTACAAAGTAACGTCTCAGTAATTTTTATCTATCTTCTCCATTACCAGCCTCACAACAATCTCCTTTTACAATACAATAACTTATTCTTTCAAGTACACTCAAGCAAGATAGCCTAGAAAGTAATTAACATATCCATACAATACAAGATAATGAATCCTTCAACTCAGCCCGTCCCAGGAGAAAAAAAGGAAATCTTGAAATCAAACCATGGCTGGTTATAAGATCTTGGTTTTTTTGTTTGTTTGTTTGTTTGATGGGTTGGGGAATGGAAATTTTGGATTGGATTAGAGTGCCATGGTTTCTGACGAATTGGTACTTGGTAAATTGGCAGCCAGCAGAGATGGTGTAACTAGAATTGATTACTGAGTGTTGTTTTCAACATTGTGTTTATTCTTATTCTGTTTTAATTATCTTTACAGCTATTGGTGAGTTTTTGGCAAGATGAAAGTGAACATGTACGTATGGCAGCACGGTCTTTATTTCATTGTGCAGCATCAAGAGCTATTCCAGCCCCTCTGTGTAGTCAACAAGCAACTAAGTATGCAAAACTTGTTAGATCTCTGAATGGAATTGAAGAAAGTGAACATGAAATTTCAAAAAATGAAGAAATGATTGTGGTTGGACGGAGTTCTGAATGTTTGTTGGAAACTGAAGGGACTTCCCAGGTTGAGAAAGCTAAACTGCTTGCATGGCTAGAATCTTATGAAATGCAGGACTGGATTTCTTGTGTTGGGGGAACAAGTCAAGATGCCATGACGTCTCACATTATTGTTGCTGCAGCACTGGTGATATGGTACCCTAGCCTAGTGAAGCCAAGTCTTGCCACATTGGTGGTTCAACCGCTGGTGAAGTTGGTTATGGCAATGAATGAAAAATATAGTTCCACTGCTGCAGAACTGCTTGCTGAGGGAATGGAGAGTACATGGAAGGCATGCATTGGCACTGAGATACCTCGTTTGATTAGTGACATATTCTTTCAAATTGAGTGTGTAAGTAGTCCGTCAGCCAACTCAGCTGGTGAAAACCCAGCTGTACCAGCATCTATCCGTGAGACATTAGTTGTGACCCTTCTTCCAAGTCTATCAATGGCTGATATTCTTGGGTTTTTAACTGTGATAGAGAGCCAAATTTGGTCAACTGCATCCGACTCGCCTGTCCACCTAGTGTCTCTTGCAACTCTCATCAGGGTTGTGCGTGGTTCTCCAAGAAGTTTGGTTCAGTACCTTGATAAGGTTAGCATACACTGCTCCAAGTGAGTAACAGTACATATTAAATAGATCATTTCGTAAATACATCAAAAATATTTTAATAGATCAGTTTTGTTATACTTATCTAGGTTGATATATTATCTTAAATTTGAATGTAATATATTTTTATTCTTTACTGTGCAAGATATTTCCATGAAATATTGGTGGTTTACTGTCATTTGCTTTTCTTTTTTCGTTCTTGTTGCTTGTTTCTGATAAATTTTACTTCTTCATGGGCTGCAGCAGCGTATATTTCCTTCTCCTCGGGTTTTCCTGATTAAATTACTCGATAAAGCATTCACTACACTCATGTGTTAAGAATCATGGTCACTCTCTTAGTAAATTAGACTTTGCACATCTATTATTGTGTTTGAAATGTTATCGTGAATTATTCTGATATTGGACAGATTCACAGGTGGTTAACTTCATCCTACAAACCATGGACCCTGGCAACTCTGTCATGCGCAAAACTTGCCATCAACGTGCAATGACAACGTTAAGGGAGGTTATACGTGTGTTTCCAATGGTAACCATGAATGAAAGCTCAACCAAATTGGCTTTTGGTGATGCTATTGGGGAGATTAACAGTGCCAGCATTCGGGTGTATGACATGCAAAGGTAATCATATATTTTTTGAAATTAACGAGGCAATAATAGGGGCGAAAATTATTATGAAGTCATTTAATCCACGTGTCATGAATATGAATACATTCTTTCAATAGAGTTTTATTCTATCCAGTTTTTTGTGACTTTTGAGAAAAAAACTTGCATTCAGTAAAGCTTAATGAAAATGGACAGTCATTTATTTGTATAATAATTTAAGCTGAATATTAAGGTTGTGGCTGGGTATCCCTGTTTATAATATTACTGGCAGTAACAGGGAACTGGTGACTTGATATCTCTTTTCTCAATATGCATCCATAATGATCCGTGGTATGAATTTTTTCTTTTACATTACTCATCTCATCAAGTCAATGCAGTCCATCCATTTTTTGTGGTTCTCATGCTTGTCTAGTCAAGTTTTAGGTGTCTTCTTATTAGAACTAAATGATTCCAATAGCTGTGCAACAAATTTTCTACAGTAAAAACATAGAATTCTGATCTGTTCAACTGGAAATTCCTGATCACGTCAAGTTACTATACAAACAACTGTCCCCCTCCCCCATTCTCTCCCATTTATTGGAAGCTAATGGCTTTTGGGGATTTTATGTTTAATTTTAGGCAAAAAGAGGATCCTGAAACATCTGCTTTCCTTCAAAATGGAAAATCTATGAGTGAGGAATTCTACCTGTAGGATTTTAGAGGTTATGTGACAGTGATATCTTGTTCTTTGTTATACTTTCATGAGATTGTTCGACAATAATTCACTGTAATTTTTTAATTTTGTTTGTTCACTGTTCTTGTATTGCTATCTTTTCAGTTAATTGCGACAAGTTTCTGAGCTGGTAGTTTTCATATTTTTTCTACTAGGAATGAACCGAGAATAGCTTCTGTTTACTGTATTTTTTTTCTGTATGTAGTGTTACAAAAATAAAAGTATTGGATGCGAGTGGACCTCCAGGACTTCCGAGTTTTCTTTTAGGAGCACCTGAAATGTCGGTGACTACTGTAATATCAGCTCTAAGCTTTTCCTCAGATGGAGAGGTATATCTCATTACCAGATATTCCATTCTTGTACTAGTTGCTAATGCACATGTTATCATCATTTTTCAGTGGGCTGAACTCCAATTCACTGATATGTTTCTCTGTAATCATTTACATATCCTACTATTTGCAGGGTTTGGTAGCTTTCTCTGAACACGGGCTGATGATCAGGTGGTGGTCCTTGGGAACCGTGTGGTGGGAGAAACTGAGCCGGAACCTTGTTCCTGTCCAATGCACCAAAGTGATTTTTGTTACTCCAGGGGATGGATTCTCACCGAAAACATCAAGAACAAGCATAATGGGAAGCGTATTGGGACATAGTACCGAGGCCAATTCACCGGTAATATTTTGTCCCCCATTATTAGTAAAGAGAATTAGGTCATTACAGGACGATATATATACACGTCTCTATGCTCCTGTTTCACATTCATGTTTGTGCTTTTGAGAAAGGTGGAACTAGAAATGTCAAATTTGACCCGAAAACTGACACAATCTGACCCTGACTTGAACCCGAAAGATATGGCCTTAACTCTGAATTATCCAAACCTAAAATGACCCAAACAATTAACCTGAAATGATCTCCAGTAGGATGTCAAACTTCATATTTGCTTTGCTTTGGTCCGTCCATAGTTGAACCTCATATTTGCTTTTTCTCCCCCTGCAGGAGGGTGCTGCTAAGAGTTATTCTGATAGATTAAAGCTCTTGATTCATGGCCTTGACCTTTCTTACCGTCTCCAATGGGTTGGCAAACGTAAAGTAGTGCTTACGAGGCATGGCGTTGAGATAGGTAATTTCTCGTTATAACAATGCCGGCAACTGCACGGTATAGTCACCTTCAAACACGAATCCGGACTTCGAACGCTCTAATGGATGCATTTGTGTGTAGCAGAATCGATGTTGACGAGGTCCTTGCATAGTTTTCTTGGGGTTGCACCTGTTAGTACAATCAATTTTGGTTAGAAAATGGTGTATGTATTATCCATAACATAGACCACTGAGTTACGGGGAACTTATTAGTCTGATGGTGACAAGAATTTTACTATTGTGATTAGACGCATACTTGGACAGTAATATTAAAACATTCAACATATAATAAACGGGTTCTACACACCACAAAAATATTAGTATTAACCACAGTATACATATAATTAAAAGCTCCTATATATCATATAAGTAAATTCAAATTTGAATGCAATTTTAGCTACCCCTATTTTCATATTTTTATTATAAATATTTAAACTTAATTTTAATAATAGTTTAAGCAACTCGAGCTCGACTTAATAATGGTATATGTAATAAAAATCCAAAACAATATACGAATTTTGATGTTAAATGGTTAATACTTCAAAATACCGACTTTTTTATCTTAAATTGAAACGTTGAGAGTTAATATGCTCCAGAAAAATGATAAAGAGAAAAGTGATTATTTAATCAAATGTTAAGGATTTTTTTGTCCTAAAATGAAACGTTTGATCAAAATGTTCAGAAAAAAAAAAAGAATAGAATGGTGATTTTAATAAACGTTGGAAGACTAATTTTGAGGCTTAGAAAAGACATATAACATGGTATCCTATCAGGTTTCAAGAGTGCTTCTATGTACTCTTGGACGAAGTTGGCTACAACTTTATCGGATACATTTATAGTTTTTTTTTATAATTATAATTATTTAATTTATTAATCAATTAGTTAAGATTGAATATTATATATATTATTACAAAGATTACTTTTCAATCTAATTAATTCTATGTATATATAATTTTTATTCAAACATTAACATTATTTAATAGATTTAATATCTCATTTTATTTTTTTATAATAAAATATTAAGATTACATCAACATAATTCTTAGATTGTTTAACATAATTCAATGGATGATTCTTATTTTATATGTTTTGGGTTCGAGAATAATATTTATATAGATATTTAAATGTTTATTATCAAATGATCCAAAGTATTTCGAATAGATATTATCTTATAAAAAAAGTCACATGCCTCTTTGACGACTGCAATTGCATAGACTATTAGATGGACCGGTAAAATGTTCATTCATGGACACAATATTTCATGATACAAATCCGGAAACTGCTCTAAAAACACACCATCGAAATTCTTTAACCTTTGACCTAATTCATGGTCACTAAACATAGCATCCGGGGTGAGAATTTTGGCCCCTTCTTCACCATCTAAATCCTCCATTTTTACCCTCCCTTGTTCCACACTCTCATCTTTAGTGGCCATCTAATTTTTGCTGCCTGCCATTACCGACTTCTTGCGAGTGCTCCCGGCGAGCGAGCTCCGCCTAGTAGGGTGACTGTGGCAGTGCTCCGCGCCTGTGTAGGTTATAATAAAAACTCCAGGATTCGAACAGCTACGCTCCACTTGCTTCCTTGCCAAACATCCTTTTGAGCTACTGCACCTATAATAGCTTCTGTTTTTCCCCAGTTCAAGCAAAGCAACATTAATGAAAATTTAAACTACCCCTTGATCCAGTAAAACAAAACAAAAAATAAGCATGTACACAATCATGGATTTAAACAGTGGTATACTATCGGAATAGCAGCTGTTATATAGTAATAATTATATCGTTCAAATCGTTATTGCATGACCGTGATACCCGCAATGATTGCATGCAATATTACTTATTATAGCCGTAATCACGAATTTACGATAAACACAAAACAACTGAAAATACGACTAAAACCACAATTTAAATATCTAGACACAATAAAAGAAAATTAACCTCGGAAATGGTGACCCTTTGATGGGTTTTTGCCCATATTTTCTCCAAGCCCACGCATCCGATGGAAGCTCATCTGCTGTTACATGCTGCACCACTGTACTTTCCTTATTCTTCCTGCTGAATTAATACATATGATCAAACTGTAATAAACTTAGGGTTTCCCACACTCAAAATCTCTAGTACTTTGAAATATATATATATAAACCTGAATCTTTTAGGTTTGTTTGAATGTTTATTTCCAGAAAAAGATTGCTGCCTTTTTGGTTTCTCTGCTGGTAGGGAAGTTGTGACGATGTTTTGAGTTGAATTTGGAATCAAACGAGGGTAGAAAGGCTTGTAAAGTTCCTCCAGCTCGTCAAGAACATTAGGGTTTGTTTCAAAATTTTCTGGGAAAATCATGGAATGATCATCTTCATCTTGCTGGAAACCCCAAGGACCAAAACTGAACTGTGGGTTTTCCATGGCATCACTGCTGCTTCCTCCTCCTACAACGGCTTGCAAATCCCACTTCTCCATCTACAATTAACTCGTCAACAATATCTGTATGAAGAAGAAGAAGAAGAAATATGGTGATTTTGATGAAGAGATATGGGAGCAAATCTAAACTTAGGCCTTTGTGTATATATTGATAAGGAAGATGGAGATTCCCCCCCCCCCCTTAAGTTTTGTCTCTATATTTTACTTGTAATTAAGCAGGCAATTATGGGAATCTGGTTTTGAATTTCCACTAGGTTGACCTTAACTATAATGACGTATTTTCATTCTGGTTTTAGTTATTGTAAACTATCAATTTAATCACTTAATTATTCTTATGCTTTTACTATCCAACTATTAAAACTTTTATTCTTGATATTGATAATAATTTTTTGTTTTAGTTATTGAGTATTAAAAACTTATTAAAACAATGTTGTAATTTAATATAATAATAAATTTATTTTTAAAACGTATTATATTTATTAATTTTATTTAATTTAAAATAATTTAATAAATTTAATTATAATGTTTACAAAGTTTATTAATCCTCAAACTTCATCATCATCCTTTGTCAACAGTGGCGGATGTAATGGTGGGCACGTGCCCACCCTGAAATATGAATTTCTTTGTATTAGTTATCAATTTTATTGATGGTGTACACTCTAAAATTTTATTTGTGTCTATCTCATATGAACAATTTATATTATTAATATATATGCGTCCACCCTCAAAAAAAAATTCTGGATCTGTTTGTCAACCACTTCAAATTTTCAAGTCAAAAAACAAATGATTAGATTTAACAAACTAGAAAAATTAAGAATATATAAAATTAAAAATTAAAAATAAAAATATAAAATTTAAATAATTCAAAATATTTTTTACGTTCAAAATCGCTTCTTTAAGACAAGTTATACAACCATTATATTAAATTATATCATCATATTCGTTAATTTTCTAAATTATTTTAAATTAAAAATAAATTGATAGAATGTATGAATTTTAAAAAATAAAACTATTACTTATATCAAATCATGTCATCATATCCGTTAATTTCCTAAAGATCGATGACTAAACTGGATTGAAATTGTTAAATTATTGACTAATAAAATACAAATTTTAGTAACAAGGTAACGGAAATAGAAACACTGTAATAATCTGATGATTAATATGTGATTTACCCTTAAATTTTTTATTATGATAGAATTTTAAATTTAACCATTCTATTTTAATTTAGTATAACTTCACATTTCTATTTAATTTTTTTCATGTTATCCTTAGCTCCAAATTGATAACATCATAGTTGCTGGTATTAAATGAAATAGATTTTATTTTTTTTAATAAAAAATAAAAAAATGAAAATTTTGATGTCATCACTTTAATAACAACAACTAAAAGTATTACCAATTTGAATCTATTAAGCAAATGAGTCAATTTATGTCAAATTAAAATAGAGAAATTAGATCTTAGATTGCAACATAGAGAGAGAGAGAAAAAGAAATTAAACCATTTTACATTCAAGTAAATAACAATAAGGGTACATTACACGTTTAATACCCTAACTATCATTCTTATTCTGTTTGTCACCCAACTATTATTTTTCACAGTTATATCTAATGTTACGTTTCGATTTTGTTTCAGTCACCCACCGTTAAAAACATAATTGCCGATGTGGCATTTTTTTAAAAAAATAGTGATGATGTGGCATTATCATATGGTGACAGATTTGCATCACCGTTGATTTTTTAATAGTGGGTGACCAAAATGAAAACAAAACATAATGTTAGATATGATTACAAAACAAAAAATAATTAGGTGACTAAAACAAAACAAAAGTGATAGTTGGTACTAACTTGTAATTTACCCTAACAGTAATAATATGTCGAAATGTTGAAGGAGATAAGGATATGTGATGAGCCCATTTATTGCCACTTGCCCGTTTATAGAATAGGGGGTATTGTAATGGTTGGTCCTTAGTCTCATATACCAATGAAACCGTAGCCTTTCTTCGTTTCAACATTCTCCCATTCCATGGAGGTCCAGCTTACAGAATTCTGAATTGTCATTAGGAGTCAACTTTTGATAGGGTCGAGTTAAAATTTTTGAGTTATTCGAGTTGACGAGTCTTATTTTATAACTCAAATTTTATTTAAAAAATTTTCGTGTTGAGTTGTTCGAGTTTCTATTTAAATTTAAATGTAAATGTTTATAATATTATGATAATATTTTATTTCAATTTAAATGGTTTTATTTCAATTTAAACAGTTTTCTATAACCATATACAATACATATATTTCTTCATATTTTTTATATGTGATATACATTTGTAGACACCCGTTTTTGTCCGGATTTTCATTTTATTATTATTATTGTTGTTGTTGTATTAATGTTTATTTACATATTTTTGTAGGTCCAATCCAAATTACGAAGCCCAAAATACGAGAGCACCCAACCCAGACCCGATTACACCAACCCGAAGCCCAATGTACTTGCCCAACAGCCCATCAACTTGGGCCCAACAAAGGAGGCCCACGTGTGACTCGTGCCATCAGCTAGGGTTTTTTAACACACTCTTTAGTGCCGTCAATCCACAGTTGTTGGATCTGATTGAGATCCGACGGTCCACAAGTGTCCAAATTAGGGTTTTTTGACCATATAAAATACATATATTTCTTCATATTTTTTATACGTGATATACATTTATTATACAAAATTGAGGAACTCGACTCAAACCTGAAAATTAATTATCTAATTACTAAAACTTTCAAGTTATTCAAGTTTTATTTTATAACTCAACTTAAATCTAAAAAAATTTTAGTCGAGCCAAGTTAAAAGATCAAATTTTTTAAATTAAATCGAGTTTTGATCACATCTAATCGTGATCGCAGTCTAACCTCATCATCTAAAGAAATGGAATATACATGATCGGTAGCTATCTGCAACTTGTAAAAGACAATTACAAACACTACGGTCAATATTCTCCATTTTGCAACTACGCAAAAAGATGTATTGTGGCTATGTAAGCTTTGAGCAAATAGCAGTGTGGGTTGAAGAAAGTAAAGCGTAAGCAACGACCACGTAATTTAAGGTTAAAAAAGGACGGAAGTAGATGTAACTGAAAATGCGATAATAAGTATAACATTTTAGGTTAGGTATAATCTAAAACATTGCATTTTTTTAGTATTTCCGGTTGAACCTAAAATGTTACATTCTTCATAATATTTTTTGTTGGTAAGTGAAAGATAACATTTAGGTTGTGCTAACCTAAAACGTTATGTTTTTTATCACATTTTTTATTATGCTTATTTTTATTGTTTTTAGCCTTAAATTAGATTGTTGTATCGCATAACAAACAAAAAAATATGATATTATTACTTGAGGAAAATTCTACGGTGCACGTCGCACACCAAAACACACCACTAAAGCGACACAAATAAACACACTACTATCTAAATTGTCCTTAAATATTAAAGGGTAAATTACATGTTTTGTACCTAAATTATCATTTTTGTTTCATTTTAGTATTTAAACTTTAATATTTACTAAACGTGAAATGACCATCCAGCTCAGTTGGTAGAGCACAAGGCTCTTAACCTTGGGGTCGTGGGATCGAGTTCCACGGAGGGTATTTTATAATTTGGAGGTCTCATACGGAAGCTGCTCACAACTTGGCGTTGGGGGCAGCCTACTATCCTACCTCCCCCGTACCCCATTACATATGGGAATAAGGGTCACTTAATTTTTATTTACTAAACATATAATTTACCCTTTTAATATTTACTTAATAAGCATAATTTAATTAATGATGTATTTCAATACATCACTTTAATAATGTGTTATAGTGTGCGACGTGCACAATAGACTCCTCCATTACTTGAAGTGCAGGGAAACTCCATATAGTGGAAGCTTATTTATTTTTTTGGTTTGGACTTTGGACCACCATTTAACTCATGGGAACCATTTGGCTCTTTCCTTTTTTGCTCAGTATATTCATACTCCAATTTGGGTTGTTTAAGATAAAATCATGGCTTCATTGTTTTAAGAGTAGTATTTTAACTATCAATTTTATTTTATTTTAATAATTTAATTATTTTTCTAAATCAAACTTAATATTACATTTTAGTTTTATTTTGGTTATTCATTGTTAAAAATTTAGTGTGATATTTTTAACGACATGATATTATCTTATAGTGACTCGTCAGCATCACAGTTAATTTTTCAATAATAAATGATCGAAATGAACCAAAACTAAACAATAAGTTTTGTAGATGCTCAATTTGCCCAAGGCCAAGTCGGAGCAGACCCGAATTAATGGCAGGCCTAAAGAAGAACTCAACCCATGCATAACCCAAATAAAGACCTGGCTTGGGAGTAAGCCCGGACCAATGGACCGGTTGGTTGGAGCTGTCTAACCATGCAACTGCTTTGATGTACTGGAATCAGAAAAAGAGGACTTTCAGCCACGTATGGTAACTGGTCAATTATCATCAGTTAATTAAAACAACCGGGGAGGGGTATAGGAGCAAGAGAGAAAAACTGTAAAAGGGGAGTTTTTCTGGAGATAGATTACACGGACACAAGGAGATATTTGCAAAGAACCGAGAGCAAAAAATACAAAAAAAAAACCTCCATTGTTTCTCTTTACAGAAAGTAGATAGTAAAACAGAAAACATTGTACTATATTTTCCTTCAATTTGAAAATCAAAGGAACGGAAGAGTTCGATCGTTTCAACGAATCAAAGCAATACAAAGTGAAATTTAGTTACTACAAGCAATACTGGTACAAGCAGTGAGTTTCGAAAGCAATACTAGCAGTCCATAAACAGGTTTTCCTTTATTTTATTATCATCATTTATTTCCTTTTTACCTTTGAAATGTTTATTTATGTATGGGTTTTGTAATATTTCTTTTGAAGCATATAATAAAAAGAGAATTTGGGGATTACCTGGGATGTTAGAACGAATGAGGGTCTTGTTGATTCCATGTTTACTCTGTATGGGCTTCATTGGGGTGAGATTAAGCATAATAAAACTTTTGAAATAAAAACCAAACTAAAAATAAAACAAAATTTCATAGAAAGA